GGTATCTTCAGTGATAAATCTAAATCTAGATCATAACCTTGAACTTAAATGGCAAAATGTTAAGACATTTACATTAAACATGCAATGAGACCATTTAAAACAATTCTTATAAAAAGCACTAGCATAAGCAAGTTTAAAATGGTCACCGTTCAGCAATATAGAAAAAGGCATGGCACAAAAATGATAATGAGCTTCGGTTAAGGAAATATACATATAATATAAAAGTGCTTTGCTTAATATTAGGTTTTTGCATAATACGAAGAAAACCTATTTAACTATTACAGGAAGAAATAAAGATATTTGAAATGCCTTTGATATGTGAATGATCTATTGACAGATTGTTGCGTTATTTTTGTGTTCATTTTTGAATGTTTTTGCCGATGTAGAAAATTTATTCAAAATCGAATTTCTATTGCAAATTGTTGAATGAGTAACCTTTGTACTTGGATTAAGTAAGGATATTACAATTCGTTTATATACCCAGTGTCTTCAAAGGTAGCCTTATAACATTAGATATCTTATTTCCCTATAAGAAGTCCTTTAATTTCCAACTGTTGACATAGTCCGAATGGTTGGGTTTAAAGCCCCCCTGCAAAGCTATACTCATGCATTTTGACATTTACCTTGCTAAGTACTTATATAGACCAAATCATTGTATTGATTTAAGGGAAGATAGAGCCTCAACGTCGCAAGTTGATTAAAGTGATCGCTACATTCTATTAGAAAAGGGGGTGAATAAACCGCGCACTTATCGTAGTATAAACTGATTTTGTCAATACCTATATAGACATTTTTACTTTTAAACATAATGGATGTCAGTCACATTTTACTAAACCAAGTAAGAGGTAATTCTTTGACATTCAGAATTAAATATTATTGAAATTCCTATAGAGTAAAAGATAAGAGATGAGGGAACAACGGTGCTAGGATGACATCTTTCAGCCTTATGAATACTCTCAATTGATTATTTTGAAAAATGACATGCCCCCCTGTAAACAGTGTAAGAATATGTAAAGAAAGAACTAAAAGTGATGACATGAACAAATTGTTAAGTCATTCCTTCTGTCCAATGTCAAAATTAATTGCGTATTCTTCCAGTGGTCATTTTTTTCTAGAGGTTTTAATTATTTCACACATTTTGCAAAGATATTCAATTTTTCACATAACCACATTTAATCTGAAGTATTTTTATTGAAAAATCATTTAAATGTGATCCAGTTATTATATTTCTAATACGATTTAACTTATAATAAAAACATGTTATCATAATTGATTTATTCAACAGATCGTTTACATTACAATTTCTGATCAAAAATCTGCCCATCCTTCCTACCCGCAAAACCTACCTATTCAGACCATTTTCAAAATATTTTTTATAGTCTGAATTTTTAATTCATTATCATTTAAAATATAAAATAAAGTGGGGAACACTCAAATATGGTGTTTATAACTTTATTATTATTGTTATAATTATTTAAAAAAAAAACAACACCCAGCACATTATAGAAGTACATGCAATTTTTTTATTTACAGCGAAAAACAACAAAAAAGTATACATGTAATCATATTATTATAATTTCACTGGACTGAGTTGCTGCTAAATGTTGCAAAATGTTTGTTAATAAATCCTTGATATCAGCATTTGAATTGAGAAAATGGTGTTTAAATTTTGCTTTAACTTTTAGATATTCAGGGACATTGTTATTTCGGAATTAAAAGAAAAAGGAAAACGTGCACAAACAGTTATTTGAATTACTCGGGATCACGACAACGGCATGGAATTCAGTTAAAGGTCAACAACATTGTATTGAAATGGCATTTGTATGACATGTTTAATATCGTCAGTGGATCAATTGATGTCAATCAGTGATCAGTTCACATGCCTAACTATGTGACGGTCTGACCAAGGCAACAGTGCTCCGTGTACAATCTATAACGTTATATCTGTGAAAGTACAGTTATATGTACAGAGATATCTGAAGATGTGTGTGAAGTAGTGACGTACAGATATATTGAGATGTCTGAGGCAGTGAGAACGTTTTATCCTTAGTGAAGTAGTGAAGACCAGAGATATTGAGATGTATGAGACGCTGAGAACGTTTTATCCGTGAAGTAGTGAAGTATAGATATATTGAGATGTCTGAGATGGTGAGAAAGTTTTATCCGTGAAGTAGTGAATACCAGATATATCGAGATATCTGAGGTGGTAAGAACGTTTTATTCGTGAAGTAGTGAAGCAGAGATATATTGATATATTTGAGGGAGAGTGGTCACTGTACACGTGGGGTACACATTTAGATCTGTGGGGAAAGATAAAGTTGGTATTAGTTTGATTACAACACGATTTACGAAAATACTTCGCTACTTTATAATATTTATCAGAACGACTTAGCAGAAATAAATAAACTACTTTTAATGCATTATATTTTGCGCAAATGAGGTTACCTAATAAAGTCGTGAAGTGAACACGCACATATATATTTTACTGTAAACTACAAAGTTTGATATTGGTCAAATGACTGTAGCTAGATAGTGCTCAAAACATTACTATGTTGAACAACACAAATCAATGTCCCGGTCGTATGTTATTATATGATGTATCTGAGAAATTCGTGTGTATGCACGTTTCTGAGCGCAATTAACACTGATAAATTGTCCGTGAAGACAATAAAATATCAAACAATTTCAATCAAGTCGCCAAACAGCAACAGAGGTGAACTAGCAATGAGGTTTTATTGCACACCAAGTATTGTGTCAAATTTTCATAAAGTATGTGTGATGGGTGGTTGACATGTTTACGACTTCAAATCGAAAAATTACACGTTCTTATAGTCAACATCGCGATAATACCGATACTTATGAAGAAATATATTAACGACTTTCAACAGAAGCAATACAGAACAAAATGACGGTAAACTCTAAATTATCTGTTTTATATACTGAAAGCAATTTGAATATATACTTTATACAGGGTATATTCGCGGGTTTTCTCAGATAGTTTTTCATAATGGAAAGCTGGTATTATGCTCTAAACTACAATCCACTGCCCCGACATTCCGAATTTTAATGCAGTCCCGACATTCCGCGTGTAATAACGGCCTGACATTTCGAGTGTAATTATGGTCCGTCATTCCGAGTGTAATAACGGTCCTGACATTTCGAGTGAAAATGCAGTCCCGACATTCCGAGTGAAAACAAAGTCCCGACATTCAAGTGTAATTATGGTCCGACATTACGAGTGTAATTACGGTCCCGACATTCCGAGTGTAATTACGGTCCCGACATACGGGGATAATTATCGTCCCGACATCCCGAGGTAAGTGCAAATACGGTGTTATTTATATATGATGGGATAGGAAGAAATACTGGTAATGTTTACCTCTAATATAAAACTGTTGAACATGAGTTTACAACACTCCTAACCCAAATTTATTACAATTTAACTGATAAGGTGACATTAAGTAAAAAAAAGTAGATATATTACCTCTGTTTTGAACTTCTGTACAAGTTTATTAAATATTTATCGTGCAACCGTGTGTTAAGGTAACAACATTTTTTTAAAGAAAAAAAACCCAACCTATTTTCAATTAAGGCTACAAATGTTCAAGGTCTGAACAATATAATATATATGCTAAGCTTTGTGTCGTGTATTCCCATATCTGACATAAAAATAAACTTCATTCGTAAACATTCGTGATTTGTATACTTAATGAAAAGATCTTCACTGAATATAGAATAATCAATATATAAAAAACATTATGTATTTGAATCACTTTCAACTGTTTGCAAAGAAATTCATTTTATTATCTCACACTAGAGGCGTACCGATAGTTTACTACAGACATGGGTTATTTAGATGGCTAAGTCTTTATTCTAATTCATTAAAACAGTTCGCGTTCGCGTTTTCAAAAGTTGCGTATAATTCTCAATTCTGTAAACACGGACATTTTCACAATTTAGATAATGTCTTTGTATACATATTAAATCATTCATCAAGAAAAAAAAAGTACAGCAAAAAGTTAAACGTTGATTAAATCTTTGTTCAATGTTTTGTACGGGGCCACGTGATATGAAATTATTTTCACGGTAAGTTATCTTCATTTTTGTAGTAATTTGCTCTTTCTCTCTTTCCTCAATAATATGACGGGTGGCTTGGCGCTTGATAAATATTCGATCAAACGTGAATTATTATAGAAGTGTCTACAAACGAGTAGTAATATTGTCGAATTTCTTCAATACTTCAATTCATGTGGACAGGTGATTATAACTCTAAATAAATACTGCCTTAAACAGCTCTTTTCTAAATTCTGTATTTAACATGACTGTTATAGCATATTTTGATTTTATTTACCAATACTCTCTCATATGCTGTAATATATGGGTACGATTGAATAAACTGCTTTTGAAAGTTGAATAGATAGAAACCAATATCAAAAAGTGTGTGATTTTAAATCAATCTATATATGAATTTGATAAACTTTCAGCACACACGATTATGAGTAACATAAAAAAACATCGAGTGTAAAAATCTGTCGAATTGCAAATTTAAGGGATGTGTATTATTTTGATAAATTTGTCGTTGGATTTATAGTATATGTTAGCGAAGAACACGTGGCGTTCAAATTATAAATTTATTGTTCACCGCACTGAAGACAGATTGAGGTTTATTAAACTTTCCCATTTACGAGATTGGTTATCATTTTTTATGTTTTGTAAAATAAATACGGTAAAGTCGTATTCGTGCTTCGCTGCATATAGCAACTTTCCGACATATTAAGATAATACTGTTCGATTTATATTAAACAAAATTTCGTTAGGAATGATGCAATGCATTTTTTTAATCGGTTAAACATTTTTTAATATGCTTTTTTATCACTATCTGAATTAAATAAAAAAATCATTTTAACCCAAAGATGTAAATAGAAATATAATTCAAATATATAAGTCCAAAATCTGATTCAAGAAAAAATAGAATATTCATCATTATTTTATAATCTCACCTGGCCAGTTAGTTGAAAATGTTTTTGCAGATTCTTCTTTTGTCGCTAGTTGCACGTGCTTATTAAGCTGCATGTCAGACGAAGCTTTGGGAATCGTCGCAACGGCTGCAAAACAATTCGGCACGTGCATTGTGACAAATAGAAACAACGTCCAACATTGATACATATTGTTGATACATTAACTGTTTAAAACCAATTGCAAATTATACGTCACATTTCTGTTCATAGCTTTAAATCAGATTCCAAAATTAGTAATGAAGAAAGTATAATCCGACAAGTGGTTTATCCAAAGCCTTTCTGAATTATCATTTCTGAGCTTTCACATTTTATATTCAGGCTTTTTCAATTAGATCCACACTGTAAACAAAGATACAATCGACTATCTGTACAATTTTGCATAATTTCCAATCACTGGTTACTCTTTTGCAATAGCCAGAATACTCGTTATTAAACTTATGTTGATATTAGTCTGTTCTTCGCGGGCTGAGACCTCGCTATCACGTATCCTATAGCGTATCGTTGTAAGCCGGAATGAGCGCGCTATACACGACGTACCGAGAAGGCGGGCTCTGAATATATTGAAACTATCAATCACTGGTATTTGAGTAGCGAACTTTAACTATCGGTACTTCATGCGTGTAGTTTTTTATCTTTAAACCGCGACCTGTCCTTTTCTGAATGGGCGTAACTTTATCCATTCATTCACTAAAACTTGGAGTATTTCTCGATTTGTACAAAAAGATTTAATTCATAAAACTTTAAAACAGTAAAGTAATTTATTTCTGATTTAGAAAATCAGTGACCTAAACAAACAGATTTCAATGGATATGAAATAGCTAACATGACCTTGACGACAAGATAAAGGTTAATGAAAGCACAGATGTTCATTTTTTTCCTGAAATTACCAGTTATATGTTCAATAAGCATTGTAAAATATAACTTCGGTCTCAAACTATACGTGATCTGTCATTGTTAATTTAGTTAAATTTTAACTCAGTAGTTTCTGCATATATATAGACATAGAATTATATATCCATAGCTTACGATGACTACAGATTCAATTGAGCCCACTCTCCTACTTGAAATCTTAAACCTAAAGCACCCTTAATTTGATTGTTTAAAAAACTCATAATTGGAGTATTTTAAACTAGTATTTAAGATGTTTGTAATACAAGTTCCTTTGAGCGTTTACGTTTTTACGTCATTATTGTTGATGAATTTTTACTTTTCTCTCGCTGTTATATTCTTCTTGTCGTAATAAATATTACACAATAGTTACACGTATAGACACTATATCAAGCTGATATGCAAGGCTGTATCTTTATAATAATTCAATTATGTCCACCTTTATCACAGAATACATTCAACATGGAGAATTACGCACGTTACATTTAAAACACTGAGTCATAAACTTTTGTGCCCAGGTGTCAAGTGTTCTTGAAACCTGATGTTGGGGACTTGCGTCCCAAAAATGTTCTTAAATGCTGTTGTTGCGGGCATTAACGCAACACAGAGTCACAAGTTTATATCAAACAGGCAAAACACGGTGAAAGGTTTAGCACATTTATTACAGTTGTTTGTACGGGAATATAGTCTTCACTAGCTTGTTTAATGAACGTGTCAAGTAAGAACATATCTACGTAGCTGATAACTTATCAAAGAGTACATATTGTGTAGAAGGCGCTACTAGGCCGGAGAAAAGGCATGAAAAACATGAATGGACGGAAAACTTGAATACGAGCTTGTTAAACAAACAATTGTTTTATGTACAGGAACACTAATATTGTGATACGCAATATTAAGAGCTGCATCAAGTGTGTTCATCACAAAACATTTATGCAGATATTTAAATGTATAAAACTACAACAAAAGATTATCAACAGAAAAATAAAGAGTTTTCATAAAGAACATAAGCGTGATGTATACTCATTTTGACTTATCGTACAACCATGTTTTTAGTTTATTGTGACGTTTTAATATATTAAGGAAAAGCAGAAAGCAGCACCGGAACGCTAGTGTGGTAAAGCAACAGAAATGGTTGTAAAGAGAAAAAAAGGTATCCCTAAAGAACGTCAAAAACGACAAACTAAAAATGTAGCTGGCTCGGTTTGATTGTGTTTATTCACGGACGCGCTACGGTCAACGCTTCTGTGCTCAATAACTTGGTTATTGAGCAGATACATTCAGCACCAGACCTTTACTGATCTCTGTGTTTCAAAATATATTTAGAAGTTCTTAATGTACTGTTCAGAGAAAAGTAATAGACTGTCCCTGTAAATGTTCAAACTATTTTATTTAGAAATCGTTACTTCAAATAAAAAAGACGAATTATATTTTTTCCAATTATCTATCATAATTGTCAGTGGAAATTTTATTCTTGTAGTTATTTTTGTTGTTATTGATATTGTTGTTGTCAGTGTCATACGTTATCCTACCATCCCTTCTACTATGAAAACAAAATTTCGCAAGGTGAAAATCTATTGCACAATAATCCCATACAGTCAAGTAAATTATCTAAAGAAATAAACCGGTATAGTACTTAGGTACTCATCGAAAAGTAATCTTTCAACTGGCAAAAGCGATAAGTTTACGGACTTTCCATTCACCTAGCTAAAGTCAATACACATTTGATGGTAATATATGATCTGATAAGTGTTTATTCATCAGAGTATATAAGTGCCACTATCAGAATAATGATGAGGTATACAGTTTGTACATATTTATATTACAAACTCATAATATTCCCAGCCAGGTGTCAAACGTCGAATAAATCTCTTCTTTTCAACTGATCTTGCTACTTGTGGACATTTGCCAATATGATAAGTCTCTCGAGGGAGAACAAATATTTCTGTCTCAGTGTATCTCGCTGATATCTGTGGGACATTTATCAGATCTTGTTCATCCAACGATTCCTATATACGTACATGATTGACAACCTGGTCCCTATCATGTTTTAAAAGTCCTGTAAGTGGAAAAGTTTTTCCTTATTTTTGTCAGCTGATCGGGGTTTTTGTGTGACATATTGATGATATATCGTTCGATGACATATGTATTTTGTGTACATCGTTTACCCGCGAGTAACGAGTTTGATAACTGACACAGTTCCAGAGAAATCCTTCAAAAGAAATGAAAACAAAATTAAATGACACTGGCTCAAATTACACACTGCTTTATTAAGCATACTCACACACTTCTTATACCATAATGCCGTATATGTTCATCCATAAATTGCAATTTGCATTTGCTTTCATACAGATCCCCCTACTTAAAACATTTGCCAAAGCACAAAAATATAAAACAGGAATTACCTGGCATATATGGCTTCAAATACCCTAATTTATCATAACAAATCAGTATCATATACTAGTGTTGTTGAACACTCGGTGGGCAAACCTACGGGTGCCATATCAGCATATTGAAACTGTAAACATTCTAACATATATCAGAAAGTAGGCCGCAGTCTCAAAAGACAAAGCAAGTAAAGCATTTGGAAAAAAATAGCAATAAACAATTACTTACAATTTCAGTTTAACTGATAAGAGAATTACCATTCATTTGTGGGACAAAAAACTACCTATATTCTATTCCTTTATACTCTAAATGAGTAAATGAACCTTAATAATTAACGTTATTTTGAAAAAGGACACCATAAGACAAAAACAAAACAATTATTACCATTGATCGAGATGTTGAATATAAGTATAAGCGGGTTGCAGTAGGTTTTTTTATTACTTCTAGAGCTAGAGAATTTAGATTTCTTAAAACAAACATGTCAATGAAAAAAGTAATAATGATGTAAAAGTTGTTTCTCATGAAGGCGTTCAAATATTATTTACTTTATTATGTGAGTCCAAAGAGCATAGAACAATACCATTTATATTATAAAAATTCAATATAAATCTCTTATGGATTGATAGATATTTCTTAATTTAGATGACAAAGACAACGGCAACACCTATTTGCGGTAATATATAAATGGACGGACGGACGTGAAATTTAAAGTTGGTGACGACCTTTCCACAACAAGTAAAGTTTGTAACTAAAATCCTAGCTATCAGTACAAGAGATGAAAGAAATAAACATTATAAGGGGAGCGGTGGCCTAGTGGTTATGGTGTCTGCCTCTCAATCCAGAGATAATGGGTTCGAGCCCTAATCGGGGCACGACCATGTTTCTTCATATGACACCAACATTGATTGGTTCCAGGAATCCAGGAAGCGGACTCGAAGGTGATTAATATAAGTTGCAAGAACTTGTTTCGCAATCGCTCTAAAATAACTATGTTTAAACTAAATAAACACTGTCAACAAACAATTTGCGTTTGTAACAGATGGAATATATATATACGGTCTTTAAGTACATCAATCCACATTAATATGAATGGATATGTAAACAAAATATAGCATTTAGATAAAGATTTCGGACACGCAATCTAGCAGTAAATGTAAATCATTAAGTCGGTCAGGCATCAACATATATTTGCGTTCTATATATTTGTTTATTCCATTTAAACCTAATTAAGCGGCAAGGGAAACACAAATGTTCTAACACCAGTCATGTTGTACTTCCTGTTTATCAAAACAACCTTGCGTGTCATAATCTTAAAACAAAAACAGGGTCTCGATGAACCAGCATATATTAAACACGGGAAATGGATATTTAGACTTCCTTTTTATTGCTTGATTACATTTACGTTAACTTCCTGATTTATATATTTGTCACAATACCGTCTCTCTCTCTGCTTTTGACAAGATTGTCTCATATATAAAGTCCAACACAACATATTATTACTTTACTTTATTGTTTATGTATATGGTATACATGTTGAATCACATTAGTTAAATAACGTCTTTAACATTGATTGATAATGTTTTCCATCAACAGTAACTTTGTGTTTCAAAATTAACAAAATTTTACCATTTCATGTTAAATGTTGAAAACTGCTTAAGCCGGTGCAAGACGGTAGCTTGCAATTACAAAAAACGTAAATCAAACCGAGCCTGTAACATTTCAATTTCGCAGTGTTGGGCTTTCTTTAGGGATTTTGTTTTTCTCTATTTATGTTTTTTTTATATGTAAATGATATATAATTGACGTGTAATAGTGCGTAGAAGTTTGTCAAAGCAGATGTTAAGACGCCTGCGTTTGAAAAAGTCTCGTTATGGTAAGTTTTCAGTGGGAAACCTTACGGTGCGATGTGCTATTATGCAAATAAATGCTGAAATATATCAGTTTTATAATGTATTAAATAAATGGCACTCATAATGTTATTTCCTGAAGCAGACATGATTATTGACCATATACACGTATATATTCATACTTAATACCTTTTGCTCTTGTACTCGTGGAATTATCATAGCATTTCTTTAAACTATTTGAAGGTATAGAAGTTTCTCCCTATATATAAGAAGCATGTCTGGGTAGACAGGTCAGAAAATATGTAGTTATGTTAGTTAATACATCAGTAAATGCATCTCTATATGACTCTTCTTAAAAGGTAGTGAAGGCGGAGCATTAGGTATAATAAAACATAAAGTATACCTGCTTAAATACTCTATATTTGTTATATACCCTTTATAAATAAACAACATAAGTGTGCGTGTTTTGGTAGCTGTATACCCGGGAACATGGTTGACGTCATGAGCTGTGAGATAGGCCTGTTGCCGGTCAACTGTACATCACTAAACACGGTTCGGAACACCGGCCCAGGTGTCCTTAAGGTCCACACGCTGTATTAAGATAAACCCAACAATGGACAATTGTAATTCGGCAACCGTAATGGATTTATCGGGTAGCAAAAGGGGGATTAGCGACATAGTACAGAGAGTGTATTGTTAAACACTCGAAATTTATAAACAAACACAAACACACTTCAATAGAATCCTATAGGCCTATTGATAGAGCTGTAAGAAAAAACAGCAGGATTTTAGCAACCAAGAAAACGGTTCTTGTTCTTATGACACTCGGCTTTAATCTGAGTTGACAACTGATATAATCTGTCATCTATTCGAGCATTTGATAGCTGTGTACACACGTCTACCAATTGTCAAATCAGCGCTTTTTAAATAAACAGTCAGATTTTAGTTTATGAACTCTGATTTGTTTACGAACTTAAACTTTCTTCTGGCCTAAAACTTTATTACGGGTTTTGACACCGAACAAGCATTTAAATTGCCTATTAATACAAAAGTGTATGTTTTAACAACCTCTTTTATTTTATGTGGAAATCTTTAAGTTTGTTGGGACGATCAAATGTTCAAATAGCTTTTTATGTGTAATTAGGTCGCCTTTTATACTATGTTGTCTGCTTACAAGTTAAGAAGTGAAAGACCTTTGAATATATTAACCATCATTACATTTGCTTGTAATTTATTCAATGTGTATAAATAAAAAAGTAGAAATAAAACTTAACATAGATCTATGTATAAGCACTTACTTGTGCAAAATGTTGTGTTACAACAAAACCAATTTGAAAGAACGTTGTTACAAAAATAAATAAAGCTCAAAGTCACTTTTTAAGCTACACACTTTTCCAACTTTTGCCGTTGACAAATGGGGTTTTCTCTTGTTCCCCTATCGAATGGTATCCAGGTGTCAGTCTGCAATGTGATATTCATAATGGTGGAATTCAAGGTTTGTTCACTTAATCTAAGTATTTCTTTATTCTTTTTTATTCATCTTTTTATGCGGGTGTTGGCTTTGGTTGCATCATTTGGGATATAGACGCTCTCCGTAATACGGCAAATGAGGGTTTTATTTTACATCTTATTTAGGGGTAGAAACAAACCATTACCGTTATAGCTTTACGGTTCAGGACATTTTCAAAAAGAGTGATCAAAGTGATACGCTTTTTTGTTCTATATATATTTATATAATTGTAACTTTAAATGTTTGTTTGTATGCCGGAATTAGATGAGAAACTCCATATTTGCCGAGGTCTGGAGTATCTTTCGGTTAAAAATACGAATAATATTGTAAATTCAATACTTCTTAAGACGGTGCGAAGGGCCGGTCGAGATGTTGCAATTTTAAATGTTTTTCATGAATATGTCTTCAATGTCCACACAAATATTGTTTTCAATGACCTCGATGGATAAAAATGCTTAGCAATATGACTTCTGGCTGTCGATACTGGGTTTTCCGATATATTCATCACAGGAGATTTTAATTACAATACCCAAAATCGTATTGCATCTTTAAATATAGTTTCATTCTGCCGAGAGAACGATCTTGTGCAACTGATTAATGAACCGACACATTGTACTGAAAACTCAAACTCAAGTCTAGATCTTATATTTGTATCTAAAGCTGAAAATGTTTTATTTTCTGGTGTCGGTGGCCATTTTCTTGACCAAGCTGTTCGGTTTCACTGTCCAGTATTTGCTCTGTTGAAATTCCACAAGCCAAAATTGCTTTCATATTCAAGACACATATGGATGAATGACCGTTGTGACTTTAACACTGAAACAAGCACTAGATGAGTTCGACTGGCACTCTTGTTACCATGAGAACATCAATATACACACAAACAATGTAACAGAAAATATTTTAGAAATCAGCAGCAAATGTATCCCTAATAAAATTGTCAGAATACGCCGTAACGATGAACCATGGATGAATACATCAGTCCGTAAAGCTATTAGAAATCGTAAATGTGCATACAGAAAGACCAAACGAACTAACAGCGAAACCTCTTGGGCAAAACTTAGGAAACTTCGTAATGACACCGTCATATTACTACGACGCTGTAAACTTGATTACTATGAACAGATGGCAAATAAACTTAAATCCGAACCTCTCTCACATAAGTTTGGTGGTCTACCCTTAAGTATTTTATTTCACCAAATACGGACAAAACTATACCTCCTTTAAAATGCCCATATACTGACAATCTTATACACGATTCTTTCGAAAAAGCTGAACTGCTTAATAACTATTTTTGTAGCCAAACTTTACTGAATGATAGAGGTAAGGAAGTCCCACAAGCAACTCCTCCAACTGACACAAATCTCCTAACATCTCTGGTTCTTAGTCCGCAACAAATAGAAGACGCATTAAATAATCTTTCTACAGGAAAAGCATCAGGCCCAGATGGAATAAACAACCGTATTATCAAAGAATCATCAGCTGAATTATCAATCCCTCTCCGTTCTCTCTTTAATCACTCTCTTCGTTCATGTGTAGTTCCTGAAACTTGGAAAGACGCAAATGTTTGTGCTATTTACAAAAAGGGTATCACTTGTCTTCCTGCCAACTACAAACCTATTTCATTACTCAATTGCATTGAAAAGTTTTTCGAAAGAGTTGTCTTCAAACACATCTATAATCATTTAAACGCTATCCGCTTTTTTGTTCCCTTTTCCAGTCTGGATTTAGACCAGGTGAATCCACAGTTAATCAGTTAACACGTTTATACGATACATTTTGTAAAGCGCTCGATAATGGTTTAGAAGTAAGAACGGTGTTCTTTGACATAAGTAAGGCATTCGATAAGGTGTGGCACAAAGGCCTGTAGGTCAAACTGGAAAATGCTGGTATTTCGGGTAAATTATTAGACTGGCTTTCTAATTATCTCTCCGGAAGACGTCAACGCGCTGGTACTCAATCTACATGGGATGCAGTAAATCCTGGAGTTCCTTAGGGCTCAATTTTAGGACCCCTATTATTTCTTATTTTTTATAAATGACAATGTCGTTGACATTGGAAGTCATATCCGGCTTTTTGCTGACGATACTAGTTTATATATTGTTGTTGAAAACCCAAAATGCTGCTGCAGAACTCATCCTATCTGATATCCTGAAAATATCAGAATGGGCCGATACGTGGTTAGTTAACTTTAATCCTGCAAAGTCCGAATGCCTATTGCTAAGTAGAAAAATAGATCAGCAAAACTATGCATGGCCAAATTATACCGGAAATAGAACATCGCAAACATCTGGGTATCATTCTTTCAAAGGACTGCTCTCTTGGCATGAACATATCAACTATATAGTAAATAAAGCATGGAAACGGGTTCACATCATGCGCAGACTGAAGATTACTCTTTGTAGGAAATCTCTTGAAGTAATATACACCTCTTTCATCCGACCAATTCTAGAATATGCTGATGCTATATGGGATACTTGCTCTTTGACCGAAAAGGATATGCTTGATAAGATCCAAAACGAATGTGCTCGTATTGTATCGGGAGCAACCAAACTGGTCTCTCTCGATAAACTTCAACAGGAAGTGAATTGGTCATCCCTAGAAGAGAGACGACGCGTCTCTAAGCGTTGGTTTTCATCTCAATCTTCCTTCTTCTCTTTCTTAATTTTTTTTTCTATTAATATATTATACTTAAGGTATTAGCACCCTAATGCATTACCTCCGCTTTGAAGAGTATTCAAATAGGCTAGAACTACTGTTAACTACATTGAAAATGAGGGCCATGGGTTCAATCCCCAGAAGGGTCAACATTTTTTTCTTTCTTTTTTTTTCTTTTAACATCATTTATGTATCTCTCATGTCCCATTTGGAAAGAAAAAAGTGTTTAATTTTGATTTTTATATGCCCGAAAGAATTTCGGGCATATTATGTTATACCCCCTGGCGTCCGTCTGTCCGTCCGTCCGTCCGTCCGTACGTCCGTCCGTCCGTCTGTTAGCAATTTGGTTTCCGGAGCATAACTTAAGTTCCATTTGGCCCACAGTATTCAAACTTCATAGGATGATTGCCCATATTGGGTAGAAGACCCCTATTGATTTTGGGGTCACAAGGTCAAAGGTCAAGGTCACTATTGGCTAAATACTGAAAATGGTTTCCGGAGCATAACTTAAGTTCCATTTGACCCACAGTATTCAAACTTCATAGGATGATTGCCCATATTGGGTAGAAGACCCCTATTGATTTTGGGGTCACAAGGTCAAAGGTCAAGGTCACTATTGGCTAAATACTGAAAATGGTTTCCGGAGCATAACTTAAGTTCCATTTGACCCACAGTATTCAAACTTCATAGGATGATTGCCCATATTGGGTAGAAGACCCCTATTGATTTTGGGGTCACAAGGTCAAAGGTCAAGGTCACTATTAGCTTAATACTGAAAATGGTTTCCGGAGCATAACTTAAGTTCCATTTGACCCACAGTATTCAAACTTCATAGGGTGATTGCATACATTAAGTAGAAGACCCCTATTGATTTTGGGGTCACAAGGTCAAAGGTCAAGGTCACTATTAGCTTAATACTGAAAATGGTTTCCGGAGCATAACTTAAGTTCCATTTGGCCCACAGTATTCAAACTTCATTGGGTGATTGCCCATATTGGGTAGAAGACCCCTATTGATTTTGGGGTCACAAGGTTAAAGGTCACTATTAGCTAAATAATGAAAATTGTTTCCGGAGCATAACTTAAGTTCCATTTGGCCTACAGTATTCAAACTTCATAGGATGATTGTCCATATTGGGTAAAAAAACCCTAATGATTTTGGGGTCACAAGGTTAAAGGTCAAGGTCACTATTAGCTAAATACGTAAAATGGTTTCTGAAGCATAACTTAAGTTCCATTTGACCCACAGTATTCAAACTTCATAGGATGATCGTTCATATTGGATAGAAGACCGCTATTGATTTTGGGGTCACAAGGTCAAAGATCAAGGGATTACTATCACCTTTAAACTGGAAACAGTTTTCGCTCAATAACTCAAGTATTAATCGAACTACAGCTGTAAAATTTTATAGGATTTTCAGCTTTATACCCCTGACGTCTTGGTGTCCATCCGTTGTAGCATTTTTACTTACAAGATAACAACTTGATGGTGGTGCTTTCAAAACAGCAACTGTATATATACATGAATGTTCTTCAGCTATAAAGGAGGATTGCTTTTTGAAGGAGGTCATACTGTATTTAATTCCCATGTCTTCCTCACTAAAAAAAGGGGTACTTTCGGGCATATAATGCTCCGCCTAGCGGTGCTCTTGTTTAATTTATATAGGTATTTATTGGCTAAATTATGCTAAATATAGTAATAAATATGGTACCTGATATTTTCAAAGTGTAATATAATCAAAACTAGACGGTAAAAGTATTTTTATATTTTACAAGATCAACCAATATACTTTTTTAAAAATTTAGGGAAACTTTGAAAACAGGCACTCATTTGGGTAAATTTTAAGATTTTTTTAAATTCTAAGTAGAAAAATGGTCAGACACGTGGTAAAAATTGGTGGGGTAGGGTAACATTTTTATACAGATTTCATGAATTCTAAGTAGAAACCACAATTTTGCTTATTTGGATTGTTAGCTGAATGGTACTATTTGTTTCTTACCAAAAATTAATGGGAAAACATTTTTCATTAGAATGTTATTGCAGATTATTTAAAGGTTCCTACTTTCTAAAAAAGGGCCCTCATAACATCCCAGCTTGAGTTCAGAAAAGTGGCCATAACTTGATTTCCGTACGGTAAACTTTGTTTAAATTTTGCATACAGGTGTACTTTAAAGTATACATCTGACTTATGATGTCAATTTTTTAGTTCCTGATAGTGCCCATTAGGGTCCTAATACCTTAAATATTTATCAATTACTAATATTGCAAGTGCCTTACCACATAACCTAGTTTTGCGATTTTTTTCAAAATTTTTTATATACAATCAATAGAAGCGGTTGTGGTACACATTTGTTATATGCTCTTTACTTGCTCATCTGCCAGCCATGTACAGTATTAGTTTTATTGTAATTTATCAATTATGGAGATTGACTTTAATAAGCACCTTGTGCTTCCGTCAAAATCCATTGCGTGTATTATGTTAGTATGGTTGTTAAAATGTATGTATAATGTATGATTACAATATATGCAATAAAATATGTTTAAACCAATATGAAAAAACACGAGCTTCGTCAACAACAACGCATGAAAACAACACAAACAAACAAATAAATATTTAAAATCATTTCACATTTTCAAAGTCTATAAAGAAACCTGTAAACTATCATTTAACTTCTCGCAGATGCACATTGTTTTAGCTGTTTCTTAGTTTGATAACCAAACTTTTTGACAAGTTATATACAAGGAAGTAGTAAAGTATATTATTATTAATCTATCACGTTAATTAACCAGTTATAATTAGCTTTAATTGCTTAAATAATCAAGGCAAGCATAGAGTTTATAATGAGCTGTCATCATATATCAAATTTATATTTGAGGGCTGTTCAGTAAAGAACTTCATTAAACTATCTTATAATAACGTTATAAATTATGTGGTTATAAAACCTCCTAATTAACGACAATAGTAATAATTAGCAATATAATTGGGACACATAAAGTATTACATACACCACAATCAGTTTATTTTTAACTTTGTTGTTAGACGTTAATTCTCAAAATGTCCCTGTTATACAATTAGAATGCTCAATGTTTGTGAAGACTCTTTTATATTGTTTTCAGCGGTGGTCCTTTTTCTATCAAATTGATCGTGTCCGTCTCATATTATAATCCGAGCACGATAAACAGAAGTTTCTTCATATTTATTTATAGTACGGAACAGTCTACGTTAATACCATATAGGTAAATTAATTGTTGCACATCCTATTGATTGAGCGTTTCTCTGATAATTGTAAAAGTAAGTAACAAATGTCGCACTAGCTCAATCGGTAGAGCGCTAAGCTTAGAAGGAACTTACTGAAAGGTAGGGTAGGTTTAAAACAAAAAGTTTCGTGTATTTTTTTTTTTTTTTTTTTTTTATTTCCTCCTGTATGTAAAAACTACATGTACATAATGTGTTGTTATTTTTGATTGATTTATTTATTTATGTACGTCTTTAATCGAAGTATCTTCATCTCATTTATTCCACTTTCTTGCATATCAGACTGGCATTTCCGTTAGTTTTACTCATGCCGGAAATTTCATCTGGTGTGGGGAGCCAGATGAGTCATGGAAAATTGTTTTTTTAAGGTTAAGAGTTTAAAAAAAAATAGAATATGCAAGAAAAAATCTGATATCCGGATCAGAAAATCCGTCCCTCGAATTTCTTATATATATTTTTTTTTATTTCTTATTATAAATGTGTGAATATTTTAAAATCTTAAGAGAGACAAAAATACAGTATCTTTAAGTTCGTATGCGTAATCAAATTTTAGTTAGTCAGCAATTAAAAAAGTACTAGTAATTAAGAAAAAAAAAAGAAAAAAGAATTAAAACTTTAATAAAAAATGATACAGTTTCCACCAGGTTTCGA